TTAGCAATCCTGCCTGGCTCAGGGCTGGACAGGAGTTGAGGATGCTGGCAGATGCTTTTGCCGATACGGAAGAGCGGAAGCGAGTGCGCCACATGGCAGAGAGGGTCAACATGGCATGTATCAACATGGACAACTTTTTCCATCTCTGTGGGGAACTTTTTCATGTAAGTCAAGGTCTCATTTTTCTGAAAGGTTTCTTCTTCTTTGTCTTCTATAAAATGTAAGTTTTTCTTTCTTTCTTTTTCTTCTTCATATTCTTTTCTTCTCCTTTTTTCTTTCATTTACGTTTATATATATACTTTTTTTTTCTTTCTCCCATTCTTTTTTTTTTTGTAAACACCTTAAATGTATTAGTGATATCAAGAACTTGTAGCCCAGATATGCATACACATTAGAAAGAAAGTTTAATTTATTTATCTGCATTCAGGGTGGAATCACAAGGGAGCGCATCGTGGCTCTGTTCACCTTCGTCGGGGATGTTGCTGTGCACCAAGTGAGACACCGCGGAGAACAGTTCCTCAGTGTGCTGCTCAAGTGGTCATTTAGGTACTTGGTTGACCACATTTGCAAGTGGGTTCAGGAGGCTGGTGGCTGGGTGAGTAGGCTTAATCGCTTTGACAATCTGACTGTGTTATTTCTTGTTTTAAATTTGAGAGATGGTGATATTGCTTTGTTTAGTAGTTTTTTTTTTACATTTGTATTTACATTGAAAGGAGATTGTGAGATTGCTAATGATTAGTAATCTGTCTTTGAAATGAAAAAGTGTATTAGATTTTTGTCATTGTTTTGATTTCAGGGAGTGGTGCTGAGCCAAAGTATGAATTTTCTCTACAAAAGTGTTGTGTTTATGTGCTGCCTTGTTGGAACGGTCGCCGGTGGAGTCTACATATGGAAATCTCTCAAGGAAATGTAACAGTGACTGCAAGATAGGTTTTATCATTCGTCACTGTTGAGAGATGCCCACACATGTATTTTTTTCTCTTTCAGTATCTTGTGATGTTCTGCATAAAGTGTTTTTAAAAGAGAGTTGTCCGCAATCATGCAGATGTTCAGCTGTTCACTCTTTCCTTGGCTTATGATTATGCCTGTACATAGGCTTAGTCTAAAGTGTTTGCATCAGTTGTTGGAAATAGTTGAATAGACAAGTGTTTCTTGTGATTTTTAAGGACTGAATGAAGAAGAGCATGTGAATAGGTATTACTGTTATGTGATATTATTTCTTATGGCTAGAAAATGATCCCATTGTTGCAGAGTGAAAACTTGCATTAATAAAAGGGAAAAGATAGGAAAATTTGATTATTAGAAAAAGTGAGATGCACACTTTAACTTTTATAATTGAAGAGTTTAAAATGTTTCTGTAAATAATTGACAGTTCTCTCTCTAGACAAAGAACAGGTGTGACATAAGGTTAGATTTTACATAGTTTTTTTATCATCACCATTGGTGAAAAAATGTCCGATATTTAACAAGGGTACAGGGACATTCATTGTCGTAATTGTCATTATAATTATTATTATCATAATTATTTTATTTGTTTTTATTATTGTTATTATTATTATTATTTTTTTTTTATTATTTGTACTATTATTATAATTTTTAATTATTTATATTTATATTTGTTATTAATACTATCATTGAATAGATAATGATTGATATTATAATTATGATTATAACAATGATGATTGTAATAATAATAATGATGATAATAATATAGTTACTATTATCATCATTTTTATATTTTGTATCATTATTATTATTATTATGATGATGATGATGATGATGATTATGATTATTTCCATATTTATCATCATTATTGTTTTAATTTTTATCATTGTCATTATTATCCTTCTTATTTTTATGTTAGAATTATATTATGTGCCTTTTGTTGTAGCACTTTAATCTCACTAAGTGCTTTAGTATTTCACTGAAATTGTGTCGCTTTGAATTGGTTTATAAGCAAAGTCGCAATCAAAATTTTCTACCCTCGTAAATTCCAATTAATGATACCCCATTGGATCTGAATTGATCTGTTCCTGCATTATAGATCTCACCCCAGCATGACAGTTGATTCCATGACGGAGGTTGGCGGTGCAGGTTGTGGTGGAAAAGACGTTTTTCTGGAAGACAAAATGGATTTCTTCTTATTCTTTTTCTTTTCCTTTCTGTTCTTGGTCTTGTTCTTATCTTCCTTTTCTTCCTCCTCCTCCTCCTTCCCCTTCCCCTTCTTTTTCTCCACCTCCTCTTCCTCCTCCTCCTCCTCCCATCTTTTTTTAGCAGTTTTGACAGCATCATTAATAATGAGTGTCTGTCATAGGATCAGATACATTGTAATATGTGGAATTGTAATATTCCTTCTTTTTTTTTTCCAATTTTTTTTTTTTTACATATATTATGGGTATTGTTATTTTGTGACATTGTTATGAAATGCGTAGCAAAATTGTTATTTTCAAGTAAATGGATAATTTGTATGTGCAATAAAGAAATGATTTGGTAAAGACAACAGTATTTTATTAATTATCTGTTTCTTAAAAGAAAAGTTTTAAGATATGCAAATCTTTTCAAGGTGCCAAATATTTTCTGTTTTATAGATGTGCATTGCATTAAGTGACCCAAAGGGAAAGAATGTGTGCAATATTATGATGATGATGATGATGATGATGATGATGATGATGATGATGATGATGATGATGATGATGATGATGATGATGATGATGATGATGATGATGATGATGATGATGATGATGATGATGATGATGATGATGATGATGATGATGATGATGATGATGATGATGATGATGATGATGATGATGATGATGATGATGATGATGATGATGATGATGATGATGATGATGATGATGATGATGATGATGATGATGATGATGATGATGATGATGATGATGATGATGATGATGATGATGATGATGATGATGATGATGATGATGATGATGATGATGATGATGATGATGATGATGATGATGATGATGATGATGATGATGATGATGATGATGATGATGATGATGATGATGATGATGATGATGATGATGATGATGATGATGATGATGATGATGATGATGATGATGATGATGATGATGATGATGATGATGATGATGATGATGATGATGATGATGATGATGATGATGATGATGATGATGATGATGATGATGATGATGATGATGATGATGATGATGATGATGATGATGATGATGATGATGATGATGATGATGATGATGATGATGATGATGATGATGATGATGATGATGATGATGATGATGATGATGATGATGATGATGATGATGATGATGATGATGATGATGATGATGATGATGATGATGATGATGATGATGATGATGATGATGATGATGATGATGATGATGATGATGATGATGATGATGATGATGATGATGATGATGATGATGATGATGATGATGATGATGATGATGATGATGATGATGATGATGATGATGATGATGATGATGATGATTATGATTATTTCCATATTTATCATCATTATTGTTTTAATTTTTATCATTGTCATTATTATCCTTCTTATTTTTATGTTAGAATTATATTATGTGCCTTTTGTTGTAGCACTTTAATCTCACTAAGTGCTTTAGTATTTCACTGAAATTGTGTCGCTTTGAATTGGTTTATAAGCAAAGTCGCAATCAAAATTTTCTACCCTCGTAAATTCCAATTAATGATACCCCATTGGATCTGAATTGATCTGTTCCTGCATTATAGATCTCACCCCAGCATGACAGTTGATTCCATGACGGAGGTTGGCGGTGCAGGTTGTGGTGGAAAAGACGTTTTTCTGGAAGACAAAATGGATTTCTTCTTATTCTTTTTCTTTTCCTTTCTGTTCTTGGTCTTGTTCTTATCTTCCTTTTCTTCCTCCTCCTCCTCCCATCTTTTTTTAGCAGTTTTGACAGCATCATTAATAATGAGTGTCTGTCATAGGATCAGATACATTGTAATATGTGGAATTGTAATATTCCTTCTTTTTTTTTTGTCCAAGTTTTTTTTTTTACATATATTATGGGTATTGTTATTTTGTGACATTGTTATGAAATGCGTAGCAAAATTGTTATTTTCAAGTAAATGGATAATTTGTATGTGCAATAAAGAAATGATTTGGTAAAGACAACAGTATTTTATTAATTATCTGTTTCTTAAAAGAAAAGTTTTAAGATATGCAAATCTTTTCAAGGTGCCAAATATTTTCTGTTTTATAGATGTGCATTGCATTAAGTGACCCAAAGGGAAAGAATGTGTGCAATATTATAGTTTATTGTAAATCATTTCCACTTTCTGTACTTTTTTATTTAAACTTCAAAAGTTTGCATCTTAATTCACTCCATTGCCACCAGGGACGGCATGTATGGATGTGCTGTGTCCATTGTGATTTTAGTTTATTTATTGATTATATTTTGATGGCTACTTAGGAGCTTAGTCACCAAGGAGTCTGTCACTAGTCCTACTATCTCACCTGTCTTCTTTTCCTTCATTTTTGGAAGTACAACATGAAAAAGCTTATTGTTGTTACTATTTCAAAGCACTAATGGCCACAGTGTCAATAACAATAATAATAACAGCATCAATATCAAAAGCATTAGAGAAATCAAAGAATGCTGATAATAGGTGAGGTCAGGAAGGCCTACTAGTTGACTCCTCGTCGACTGAGCACTTGTGGAGCCATCTATGTGCAAACAAAAGTCACAAAACAAAAGGACAATGGACAGTTTGTGTAGCTGGTGGCAATGGGTTACATCTGTTATATTAGTTTTCATTATTCAAATATAACAGAAGAATGGTTTATTAAACACTCATGTAATTTTTTTTAAAGCAGATCAGATTTATGAGAATTTCATTTTTTATATATATATATATAATCTTTGTTCAAATGACTTCAAAAGTTGTTTGTTATTCCAAAAGAACAGAGCCAATAATTGCCACTTGAAGGAAGAGTCAGAAGGTGCTCAGCATGTATATCAAACAGAGAGAATGATCTTAGAACTCCCATGAAAGTGGGGACTTAGGTGTTGTGTTTATAATGATATGCAAATTCAAGCACCATTTTTGTAACTTTCAATACCCACCATGCAGTTGTACCCTGTTTGTTTATATATTTTTATTATATTTATTCTGTTTGAATAAGAGTAGTATTTTTATACCAGTTCTGAGAAAAGGATAAATCACATATGCTGTTAGCCCTCTGCACCCGGGGCATACCTGTGAAGATGTGGTTGATAAATCTTTTTCTTTGTCAGTCTTGTGTATTCTCAAAAAACCTGGCTGTTCCCTTAATACCCTACCTCTCCTCGGGCAAGCTATCGTCTACTCCAGAATCATCATATCCTACCCTCTGTAGATTGGCATACTTTTAGTTTTACTATACCTGCAAAATGTTAAAATATACAGGCGTAACCCCAGAGTTCATTGACCACACACTTACAGACATGTCCCGGCCTCAGGAAGGGAATAAGTTGCATGAAGCCCAGCATTTAAGGGATAATTATATAAGAGTTCCAATGTTGTATAAGAAGATTTTGCTTTAAGTGTCTTGATTAAGCCATCATGTTCTTCATTGTAAATAGCATAATTATCAAAGCATTGTTTTTATTTTACAATACTAAATGGTAGGTAGAATAGTTCTGCTTTTTTCCCAAATGTTTTATTTAAGGTGTACAATTTTTCTTCTGCAAACTTTTTTTATTTGGCAGATTAGGTTGATCAGTTAGTAGTGGTTAAACGCTGGCAGTACAAAAAATCCATATATAAAAATGAAATCATTAAGCATTTATAAAATTATGGTTTCCATGATGTGCAAGTATTTGTTCAGATGCAATACAGTTATTAAAAATGCAGGGACGTTAACATTACTCACACTGGAATGAGATTAGTATAGTATTTTATTGTGGTTAAGGTATGATGACCACCATAATTTGCAGGTTTCATCTGAAAAATAACAGCATTACCAGATGCTTTGTTTCAAAAAATGCCAGAAGTTTAATCCAAACAAGACTAGTAGCATGGACTGCGTGCAATCTATATTATTTATTTTATACTTTTTATTTATGCTCCAATTCTTATCTTGCAAATATCTTTTTGTATTCCATAGTGAATAAGTTACAAAATTTGTTTTCAATTTCCATTTCTTTTACTTCAGCATTACAGAATTGGGCTCACTGATGAACTGTGAAAGATGCACTGTAAAGCAAAATACATTATGAGTTCAAAAGCAAGAAACAGATAGAGAAACAACAATTTACAGACACACATAATGAGGAGCAAAAGTGTGATTTTATGAATGGGTAGACTAAGGTGGCCAGTGGTGGCAGAGTTTTAATAGAGACATTTTAGCGTGTCTTTGCTCAGAGCATGTCTTTGCTTTTCAAAACGTCAGACAAATGTGCCTTATGTAGCACAAATATTAAACTCAAGTATTAAATACTTGATACAGAGCTTTGTACTTTTTATTTTGTAAACATTATTAATTTAATGTATAATGCAATTTTTGCTAATGAAGGAAGAATAGCCGAATTAAAAGCGTCAATATGGTAAAGCTGAAAACAAAATATCAACCATAATAATGGAAGCAACAAATTTTAGATTTCATTTTGTTTAGTCAATGGCGGTTGACATTGGTGAAAAATAGTAAATTTCTTTGCGTCCAGGAGACAAATTGTATTCAACACATTCTCTTGTAATCACTGGAATGTTATAACAAATGTTAAAGGACTGATCTGAGAAGACAACCTTATGAAAGCGGGAAAAGATGAGTAAGCTATATGGTGACTGAATTATTGTATAATATTGATGCCACTGTATATGAACTTTTTTTAGGTTTAATTAGGAAATGTAAAGTTTCTCAATTTGCTTAATGCATTGTTTGTATATAATCCTTTCCATTTTCAAATAAAAGATTCAGTCACATTTGAAATGTTTGTTTGCATAAGCGAACCTTTATTAGTATTTGGTTTTGTGCAACTTACCTTCTCCCTCTGCTGGGGTATGGTGGCTGTGGGCATGTGGGCATCAGACACAAAGGTGCAGTTGTGAGCAATGAAATTTCAGTGATATAGATGAACTAGAAGTGTGCCAGACTAAAGGTGGTGGTGTGTGTGTTCTCAGGCAGTTGGCAGCATGAATGGGCTCACACAGGCAGAATGAGGGGGGGGGGGGGGCAGAAAGGTTTGTGGGGAGTAGAAAGGATGAACTAAGCTTTACATCTATTGATTACAAGTTCATTGTTCATAGGTATGTCTTGGTGCTAAGTGGTTAATTTTGTTTGAGTGATAAAGATTTGTTTAATAGTAAAATGTAATACAAAAGCATTGAAGAATACATATGACCACAAAAGGAATGGTAAAATTTTGATGTAAATGAAGAAAGAAAAAAGAAAAAAAAAAATCTTTAAATGAAAATACAAAAATAAAATCCAGCAAGTAATACACTTTGCTTGAAATATGACCACACATTATACATTAAACATTATAT